CGGCTAATCTTCCACACTTTAGCGAAGAATGGAAATTTTTAAGCAAGAAGAAAATTCCCATTTAAAGGAAGATTGAGATAAACAACAGATTTGTTAGTCTTGTTGGCGTCAAGCATGTGGACGAGAAAATAAATTACTGCTAGGTATTTAAAAATTCAATGAGACAGAAACACTGATTACATGGAGAATAAAGAACGAAATCCAAGGTGTCTGATTAAACGATCTATTGTAAAGCGCTCTACACTTTAACAACTTGTATATGCGGTACAGAAAATGAACTAGCATTAATTATAATTATCAAGATAACAATTTGCGGTCGCAGAGGAACTCATAGCTGTGTGGGCGGCTTTTCTTTAAAGAAAAAATATATATATACATTCCGTTTTTTACGTCAATTCAAAATCCACTGAAAATATTCTCAATATCGTTATTTGCTTCGTGTATAGAGCAAGAAAATTACGGGTAACTCGAAATTGTTCGATCCCATCGAACCTCTATGCTCCCAACAGAGGTTTTGATATCGACAGAGAGGTTCAAGCTATGAATTGGGTTCATACAATACAGCCTCTTTTTATGTTTTCTCAATGTATGTCCGAGTCAAGTAAAGCTATGACGATGTATTGATATCGAGAAAAGGAACTATTTTTTTAGAGGGTAGAAATACCAATTGTTGCCCCCTTCTCTTGATAGAAATGTTGGCAATAATATAAAAAATACTCATAATAAAAATAATGATGATGATAATAATAATAATAATGATGATGAAATAATAATGATAACGATAAAAATGATGATAATAATAATAATAATTAAATCAGCCAATAATTTTTTTGCAAGAACTGGCATAATGTAGTTTCAGTACGTTAAGTTTCCACAATTTTCCTGGTGCTCAGATTGCCAAGACCATTCATAACATTTGCGAACAAAACTGCATCTACAGCTGATTTGATAATTCACTTTCATCGAACGATTTGAAAGGCAAAGAAATATAAGACGAAGCTCAAAAGAGGTAAACATTACCTCCTGCACGTACCTGAAACCTGTTTTAAGCGAACAGCCACAGGACTAAGGCTTTCTGTGGTGCTCCTTAAACAGATTATTGTGAATTGTGCGATGACAACAAGCTGACTGTTTGCACCAGTACAACGTGAAACATACACTGATCACTAGTATTAGTGAGGCGCAGAGGGGCTAGAGAGGGTGGGGATGCGGGAGGACGTTTCGCGGTGACTTAATCGTTTTCATTGCGTCGTTTTCAGTTTTCTTCATTCTCTCTTTAAATGATAACAAAAAAAAATGGGTAGAGATTTTGGAATGATCTGGGAGTTGACGAGCAACAAGAAAATCTTTAGGGCCCCTTCTTCCTTGTTTGATGCAATCCATAGTTGACGAGGGCACTGAAAAACTGCAACTGGTTTACGGTAGTTTGTAACTTCCAACGATGCTTATTTTTCAACAGTTAATGTTATCATGTGGGCTCATGCCCAGGTACCAAATCACAGAGCATCACACTTTACACGACTCTAAAATACGTTTCACACCCCAGACCCATTGCTACGTGGAGCAGGAAAAGATGGCAAGGCAAACAAAATTGTTCGTTTTACGCCAATTTTGTGAGTCATGAGTTCCTTTTCTAGTTTCTTTGGGGATCACAATTGATCTGTAAATCATTTCAACGTTGTTCAAGAATAATTTCTATAGTCATTACACTTATCAGCATCGAGGGAAAAACTGCGGTAAATCGCTGCCCTTTTATATAAGCTTCGAAGGTAACTCTTTAAGCAGTCAATATACTAGGAATTTTGCTGAACATTTAGCTTCAAATCGTATAAACTAGCTTTACCTTTTCCCTCCTACGGCAAAATTGCGAAATATAAAATTAACAAATACTTAACAAGAAAGATAATGAATACGAAGAAACTGACACACGCCCCACAAGAGTCATGTCTCTTAGTTTCTTAGCAACAATGAATTCTGCAAGTAATACACAGACACAGCGGGGCTGCAGCTGAAAAAACTACTGCTGAAGCCCCTATGTTTCTCTTTCTTCATGTAAAGTGTTGCATTTTCTACACAGTAAACAGATTCTAAGGGAAATACACACATTTTGGACAAAGAATGTAAATTGAACCCAATGCTATGTATCGTACTAAGGCAGGGGGCATTTTTTTCTTTCATAAGTCACACAGCTCATCAATGAAAATCCAATCAATCGAACTGGAAGTGAGCTGAAAACTGCTGAGACGCCAACTGCGATTTTGTCGTGAATAAACCCACCGGGTGTGACATTGTGCTTTCAACGATGGAACCATTTAAGTTTCCGTTGCGTAAATCAACTCTGTACCGTATAACATTCGTGAAAAATTTGCGGGTTGAAATTTTCCCTTAGTAAGGGAGAGATTCCCTAACGGTTAAACTCCGTAACATTTGCTACCTTCACTCAAAAAATAAACTCTGCGTTCGAGTCAAGGATCAATGCGTAATCGCATTTCTTCGAAAGGTCCATTCAAAAATACCATATGTCGTGTAGTATCTCTATTTAACTCGAAAAGTTATGTAAGGTGAATTTATTATCTTTGTTTTCTTGTTCTTTGTTGCTGTTCAGCTGTTCGAACAAAGAATCGCAAGACATATTTCCCAGCAGAGATGGTGGTCATTTCGAACAAAAACACTTTGATGTGCTAAACACAGACAGTCGCCAATCCGCACAAGAAAAAATTCCGCTAAATTTTCACACTACATGGCAAGTCAAGAGCGTATGTACACAATTCAGCCAAAGTCAGAGACATGCTCGAGCGGTTTGCACAGAGCAAGATGATCCACGGGTACTTCAGTAGTTTCTTATGATATATGTGCATAAATCTCGTTGATAGCCAAGGAATAAAATTACATCACGGCTGTTAAGATTGAAATACTGGTAAAGAACGAAGCGAGACTATCGCGATCGTCCAATATATTTCGGCAAGGAGAAATACCATGAATTTAGCGGGAAATTGTAGGGGGAACCTCGGCACAGCATTCAACTCGTGATGAACCACAGGTACTGGGGAATAATAATTGGTTTCTAAGCTCTATGATTGATCGTGTAATTTACAGAAAGAGATAAGAAATTAATAACAAGAATAAAATGTCGACAAAAAATTAAAATTTTGAACAGATATTTCGAATTTCTCTTAAATGAAAATGACAAACTAAATGATCAGTTTTCTTTATAACAAAGAAGTAGATGTATTACTGTCATTAAAGTTTCCATTGAGTACGGAACAACAACCCAAAAAGAAAAAATTCTATATTTTGAAGTATCGAAGGCATCCACTGAATAAAACAAAGTCTGCATCTCCGCAAAATTTGATTTCCCAGCTGCTAACATAATTTACATTTTAAGAGTTGGTTTTGGAAGGTTAACACATAGATAAAATTTTCAGTCGACAATTTAAAGAAAATGATAAGTTCCCCTGTCTCTATTTAGTTGATTAAGATTTTTATTGGCTTTCATAAATTAATCTTAATGTGCACATTATGACAGCTTATTGTGGCCATGCTCTCTCTCGAAAGCACCTCTCCTTTTAAGAAATTTTACCTACAGTCCATCGTTGCTGTATACAGAGAAAGGCCGAAAGCATCAGCATTAGTAGCTACACTACCAACGATGAAACTCCGAAGCTTGATGAATTGAATTTAGCCATGCAGTAATTATGGCAAACATCTAGCGCGATGGTTATTTATGTCAGGGGATTAAAATGATGCATTGCAGTAAATCATGTCCTTCACACGTCATCTAAAGTTTTACGTTAACATCGGCCAAAAACACCCGGCACTCAGTGGCTGAGTTCATGCGCTTTTCGTTTCGCGGTCTTGAATTCCGTACACCGAAAATAATCAAACGAACAAAGCAATAAACATGCCGGTAAAACCGGTATTCCAGTTTCCAATCGGCGTAATCCTATATCAATTTCACTGGTATTACTGCTTTTGATGTAAAATCCTGTCTATTCTTTTTTACATCATAAATGGTAAAAAGAAGACATTTATCATTGTTTATAAATTGACGAGCGAATGCTAATATGATGGCCCCAACCTTAAACTATAAGCAACTGTGAGCAAGTGAAATTAGTAAGGCCAGCTCAATTATATATGTATCGTGTAAGTCTTTTTGTTAGTCTCGATACGCATTCATCCTCCTCTAAGAATCAACTAAAAGGATATCAGGAAGCGAAAGTACTTTCTGTTTCACTGAATTAATCGACGTAATCACTTTTAGCTGCCTGTAGGATTGAACGAAACTCAAATTGGATTGTGCCGCTCTTATTTTACTTCAACTGTTGCTATATCTCTGAGTAAATAAGCCAAGTCGATTTTATTTGCCTTAGGGCCGGAGGACGGTTTACTAGCTAATAGCCACCATTAGTAGAACGCCATTTGAGGCCACAACTTTCTAAAAAAAGCACCAATGCCCGCCAAAATTTGGTGGCAGTTTGATATTATACGGTCAATTGTTCTCCCTTTAACATCGGGTTGAATCTAAACCTGCTAATCAAGCCAAGCTTTTCAGTGAATAAAACTCATTCTGTTTACAATTTAGTACATCTTACAAACACTATGCTAGGTAGAATTTCACTAGTGCGAAGTCTTTCTAGCGCTTTCGGCATCTATAGAAACTTCAAAAAGCTGTCAAGCCCTTGATATGTATGACATGCACAAAATAGGCAGTTGTCAGAACCCACTTCCAAGCCAAGAAGCCGTGTTCAATAAACAATCGAATTTCGTGCAATATTTATTATACTGCCGGTTGCATGTTTAATGGGGGAGGCAAAATGTCTTAACACCTAGGGAGATAAATTCAGATGAGCAACGTCATAAACGGAAAAAAGAAACCCCAAAACATAAACAAAAACACAACAATGATATCTGCTCGTAACTTCTAACACGGAACTAATATTATTTTAGAACGGGACTTCTCGAAATACTTCAGATACAAAATGAACAAGAAGTCGACTTACCAAATGAATCTCATTTAGCGAAAGGCAAACACTGGACTACAGTCGAGTCTTGACTTTTCGGCGCCTTTCATGATTTTAACTGCTTCCTTGTTACCTAAGCCTATAAAAAATAATATCATTCAACACTGGCAATTTGCTTCTCTCTAATAAATCGAAAACACGGCTTCTTAAAGATAAAACTGCTCCGATCTCCTTGAACACGTTTACTCAAGTCAGCGAACACTCCTGTTTTACCTTTTAAAATTAATTCACATCAAAAACACCGGCGTTCATGGGACAAGTTGATCCAAGGATATATTCCCTTCTTAATCTTTCATGTAAAATTACACTTGAGTTCCTAACAAGAACACGAAATTGCCGTCAACATCTGTTTCATCAAAGCCATTTTCTCTTGTCCAACTCCCGGTAGCACAACACTAAACTCAGTTGTTAACAACTGCTATTCTGCCAATCGGCTTATTGCGGCTTGCAGAGAAAGTGGAAAATTTTACACGACGCCTTCTTGGGGAGACAATTCTAGCGCCAAGATGGTAGAAAGCTGGTGGGACAGCAAATGAAATGTCAATACAAGATGAATATTGTTATCTGGAAACCTTTGCGAAACTGGGGCGCTACTCAAACAAAAGCAGCTCGTTTAAACAATTAGGAGAGACGGACATCCCTAAAGCAAAGAGAGATACGCCGACGAGAAACATACAAAATTAAAACAATTTTTCAAACAAAATTTTCACAAATGTATGTAATATATCTCCTTTTTACAAACAAGTGACAAATTTTTCCACGATGTCTCTCTAGCCAGACCCTCATTGGTTTGGATTCTAAAGTATGTTTTTCTCCAACTGTGCTTCACCGAGACATCGATTCGTTGATACGAATCGATCTCACATGCAAATTTCTTTGTCGTCCAATGACATTGTTATTAATGATTTATTTTGTTTGAACTTTGTTTATCGCCATATTTTGCGTTATACAAGAGAGTGATACAATCGGAGACAATATGATAATATCACTGAGATAAAAGCGCGCTAGAGTTTTCGTCACATCAGATCGCCGGTATATCTTTGAGTACATACGTAAAGTCAGAATCATATGAGCGATAAAAATCTTGACTTATTCACTAGAATCTTCTTGAATCCGTCACTGTAGCCAAAAAATAGATTGAATTTTAGGAAAAATGTTGCAGAAGGTCATCGAAAGTTAGTCCTATTATATTACATAAGACTTCCAACGGCTTAGCGATTTCCTTCACGAATCGAACATAACCCGGCTTCTAAGATTAAATATTCAGTATCATGTTTGATTTTTTAGCGCATTTTATTTTATGTTTGGAGAAAAAAATCAACTTAACCTCAGCTTTAAGCAAATTGCCCGAGCCAGCAAATATTCACCTCAGTCTGAGTCTGTATGATAGGAAATATTGCTTTGATTTGAAATGCTGATATTTGTTTCTAAACAATACCTGCTGCCAGATAGAAAAACTTCAAAAAGCCTTGTTTGCTTCAGCCGTTCCTGTGAAAAGATTTCATCAACTTTAAAGCTTATTTTTCTGATTTCATAAGTCTTCCTTCCAATTTTTGTAACAAAAGGGTTTATTCCCTCTCACGAAACATTAATATTCATTTTGACAAGTTGGTCTGGCCTAAATTTTTCTGAACAAAGTTGTAAGTACCTAAACTTTTGCGTAATGTAAATGGTGTATACAGCACTGAGAGAGGTTTACCTAAGGGTCCTGTGTCTGATATCAGAGATTATTATGACTCAGTGGGGCATTGTGGCGCATTTTTAGGGCTGAAATAGAAATTATGGCCGGCTAAAGTGTATTTTAGCCCAATTGCAAGCTTGCGTTATTTTTCAGACTGTTTTGTCATCATGTTTTTTTTCAATAATGATTTTCTCAATGCCTTCCAAACAGTTTTTACTCTTGGGAGTGGATATTTTTGGGCCCTTCTCCTTGGCTCATTTCAAACCTCACCTAATGGCTCGGACTAATATTACTATCTCAGTCAGGTCCTTTGCATATTTATGCCCAAGAACATGAACTCTATTGTTTTATAGTCTCTCGTTAAAGATTAAGGGCCGCCAGCCCAAAGTATTCTTAATTCTGAACGCAAACTAAGCAAAGTTGGTGCTAATGTCGAAAGAGACATTTATATCTTACATTCACGATAAAAAACCTTTGATTTTAGAGATCCCAGTTTAAATAAACCGAGTCTTAGCTTAACGCAGAATCGAATCACTTTCTTTACGACTGAGATAAATTAAGCCATACAGACGAACGGGGTGTGAAACAAGCCATTTATATATAAAGGAAACAAAAGAAACTTACCTGCTTGCTAAAGAATTGATAAGAATTGAGGTAGGTCGGATTGCAATTTGGTTACAGGCCAGATCTAAAGAGTTCCTCAAACGACACTATTCCATACAAGTACAATACCGGAAGCATGTCTAAATTATTTTGATTTGGAGACAATATTCAAGATGTCATTTTAACTGGGCAGAAATCTTGGAAACATACGGTGATTTTGGTGGATTAGCGAAAACTCATGCCAAACAACTATATCATGTTGCATCTTTCATAGTGGAAAGAGCTTTCTCACTGGATTTAGCTGACCTTAGTTTAATTCATCCCACTCTTTGAAATTTCCTTTTCTCGTATCACTAACGCTTTCCTAGCGTAACTAAAATTTGTTTTACTTTATGCTGACTTTTTATCGCAATGGCCAATACTACAGTTCGAAATACACGTAAAAAGTTGAAAATCCGTTCTTTAAATAATTAAGAATATCTTCCATCTAATATTAGACTACTTTCCTAGCGGAACAAAAGTCCATTTCAATTTAACATTTCCTATTAAAATGGCCAATATAACCTTTGTATAAAATGCGAACTAGAACACAGAGAGCAGTAGTTTATGAATAAAATCTACCTTTCATCGACACGAACCGCTTCCAAAGATATCACAACAGGAAATCTTTACTCCAACTTGTTGGCTTCGAAACAGACGCGTCTTGTCGGCTTTCAACCCACTTGACAAGACTCTGTGGACTAATTGCAAAACAGCGAGACTTGATTGCGGGAGAAAAGGTGTCAGTTCTTTTATTTGCCTTTCATTCATTACATCTTGGTTACCTCATTACAGACGTAATACACTGTCGGAAATGAGCGCAATTACCAATAAGACGCCAGATATTTTTCCTTTATTTGGATTCATTTACGACTCACGGCGACTTATTTTAATCGTCAGACAGTTTAAAATGACACGTGGAGTGGCAACAAAAGGTGGGAGAAAAAGGAAACAAAAATTCACAGAAATTGCGACGAGATATTAAATGTGATAATGTAGAAAAACGTGTAAATTTGTACCAGTTGCACAGAAAACTCACGGTAAGTTTCCTCCTTTTTAGAGAAATCGATGTCATGAAATAATGTTAACTGTTTCGTGTTTTTTTGTTGAGACAGAGGTATTACTGCTGCGTGGGTTGAGCGAAACAGTGACTTGAAATATAGATCAGTTTTAAATCACCTTTCGAAATTACTCCGCGTTAATTTCCGCATTAACTGTACTCTGTGATTGGCCTTGAGAACTCGAACCACCTCTTCGACCAATCAGATTCAAAACTTTAACACAGGGTTACTCAAGTTTTCCCGCGTTTGAGACTGATTGTAGCGACGTCACGCTGAGGGGGTCGTGTTATTGCACTTAATGTGTCCCAAGCTTAACGACTCGGGTCTAGTGAGCAGTCTGTTAGCTTAGTCATTTCCTTTATCTTGTGCGGAGGCAACCTTTTTCTACGACCTATACTTGCTGTAAACTAAGTGCCTGTTATTAAAGATATTTCCTGACGCTAATTTCAATCAGTGATATTTAACCGCCTTCAACAGGAAAATAGGCACCATCGAAGAATTTCATGAATATCATTATAGCTGCGGGAGATGTTGTTTCCAACTGTTAATTGATAATCTTCCTTTTAACTCACTGCCTGATGGGTCTAAACTGTGTTAGACATATGTTAGACTGTTATGTCGCGAATCTGACTTTGAACTGTTGATCAAACTTTAATCAAAATTCTCCAAAATAACTATTAATTGAGTAGCTTAAACATGGAGAATTTATCAAGAAAATCTACACCTTCGCTTCATTAGTGGTATACTTCTGCCATTAACGGGGCTTAAACATTCACCTCCATCATAATTAGTCTCACGTTGCACAGAATTATTCCTCGATATTGTTTGTAGTGCTGTAGACTTCATATATTAACAACAGAATGATATCGACTGTTAGCTTTCAAATTATCATTCTGCCGTAAATTATTTACGATTCAGCTGCTAACAGATTGCAAATCATCAGCTATGATAGCTATGAAATTCAAAAGTCAATGTTTATTTGGCTTTTTTATTCTTTAGAAGACCAAAAAATTCACAATCTTATTTTCCGAGTCAAATTCGTAAACGGAATCTGTGTTTGGGATCTCATGAAGATCGAGAGCCTGATCGCAAAAGATTACCACTGGAAATTAAAACCGAGAATTTTTAATTACCCTTCAATCACGTACACTCTGTAGACAAGCTTTTAGCCAGATGAATTCTTCGTCTTACATTATAAATTCTCACAGAGTCACAGAGTCATTGAAAAACCGAAACTTATGGCTTTTTTAACTGTAACACAAACAGACTTTGTCTGACTCGTATCATTAACAAAACTGTACGTTTCCCGAAGCCAGTTTGGCTCGAATCAGTATTAGAACTGTAGGTTTCCCAGATCCAATATTGGTCATTAACCATCTTTTCTGATACTAGAAGCTATTTCAAACCAGTAGTGTGATAACGGATGGTGTTTAAATGCACATGTTACAGGTATGCAATGCTCCAAGATGTTTCCAATTTTCCAGAAATGGATGTCATGTACTTGACGACCACATACTAACATAGCACTTATTTTATAAACGTCCTCTTATGTAACATCGTTGATGGTTGTCCTGTTTTTATCTTTCCTATATAGCTACTGCATAGCGAAATTGGTCAGATCTGGAAAGGTGCGTCTTCAAGAGCCACAAATTTTACACTTGTTGAAAAATTAGTTCATACATCATTTTTTTAATT